GGTGGAGCTGCAGATGGGAGCACTGTGCTGGTGGAGCTGCAGATGGGAGCACTGTGCTGGTGGAGCTGCAGATGGGAGCACTGTGCTGGTGGAGCCGCAGGGCCGGCGGCTTCATCATGGGAAGGTCTAGAAGAGGCACGTTCTCACATGCTGTGTCCCCTCCCTTGCTTTCTCTGGTAGGTCCCCACTTAACGGTGGTCGCACATGCTTGTCCCACCTCTCCTTGAGAATGTTTCCATCATGCCCCCATGGGCAGGGAGACCTCAGGAGGGGCTGGAGGGCTTCAGGGTGCGGCAGATGGCTGTGCAAGGCTGAATGGAAACGGGCCGCTCTCCCATATCCCCTGGGGGGGCCTGATGGGGACAGGATGGGAGAGAGCCCAGGGCTTCGGCTCCTTGGAAGTGAGTGGGTTTCTTTCTAGCAGGTTCATGCCTGGCCCGTAAGTGAGCTGACCAACACAATAAAACTCCTGGGGCCAAGGTCAGGGTCCAGTTCAGGCCTAGATCTGGGAGGCAGGGAACCCAGAGCAGGCTTTCCCTTTCTCCACATCCGCTGAGTCTTGGCACCTGAAGAAGAGATCTCCATAGGCAAACAGGATTGCCCTACCCTGTCTCGGGAAATCCCCAAATAATAACCCAGAAACCATGTGGGCCGTTGAGCTGGGTTCCATGCCTAGGCATTAGACTGACGGCCAATGACCCTCCCGGCACCTTCTTGGAGATTGTGTTGAAGGCACTGTTGTCCATTAGTGGTTCCCTTGACTGTCCATGCCACCTCAGGTCACCTGCCCATTTGCTTACAATGGCACCTCCCGTGGCAGATCATTCTAAGAGGACGGTTGGTTGGTAAAGGGTCTGCCCTTGTCAGTAGCTGTCCGCAGTGCATCTGGCTTGCAGCGTGCGCCTACCTCTGTGTGCAGAGAGCCAGCATTCTGTCCACTCCCGATTGGTCCCATTGCAAGCTGAGGGTGGCCAGGAGACCGTGTGCAGCAAAGATGCCTGGCCCATGTCTGTCTCAGAATATGGCAGATGCTGGACCAGAGATGTGGCCTGATGTCCTTCAGTCTAGTTCTGGCTTCACTTAAGGAGCTCAGAGGGGAGGTTGCCAGGTTCCTGTCCCTGGGACACTGGCAAGGCTGCAAGGCTATCTGGATGTTTGGGAGCACCCAACCCTGCAAACAGAAAGGGGAAGTTTTATATCGTACTTCAGGAACTACCTTAAAGATAATGGTTGGCTCACATGCTAGCCCATAAAGTCACCTTAGCACAACCGGAGCACTGGTATTTGAACTTCACCTCTGCATGTAGTCTGAGGATGTTGGTAGGAGATCACAGCAGCATCTGTAAACTTTGTGGGCCCTTCTACTTTAGAAAAGTATAAATACCTTGGAGTTTGTTTTGTTTTATAATCAAGGGACGCGTTTGTTTTATCTCCTGTCACTGTAACTTTCTTTTTTTTCCTCAATGGATGTTTATTCTCTGATGAGGACAGATTTTTCCACAGCAAATGGGGCAAGATGGATCTATGTATGTGTGCATGTTTGTTTGTTTTCCTGTGATAACCAGTAAGGATTTCAAAGAGGGAAGGAGGAGGGTGGTAAAACAGGTGATATGCCCTGTGGTGTTCAATAAGGGGCTCCCAAGCCCCGCAGCGAAGAGGGGCACTCCGAATGCCTGGCATCACCCTTCCTCAAGAGGAAAGGGAAGGTGGCGGCAGGGGCTGGTTGTGGGGGTGCCAGCACTGGCCACAGGGAGAAGAGGCAAGGGGAGGCCTTGGAGCCGGCGGACGCAGGCGATCTCTGCAGGGGGGCTCCTCCCCAGGGGGGCCTGCCTGCGCTCCTCTGTGTGGAAAAGACTGTTAAGCTGTCGATAGTGAACTGCCTCGGTCGTCGCCGACGCTGTGATCATGGTTTTGGTCTCGTTTCTTTTAGGTTACCCCTGTTTCAGGCCAGTGCTTTTGCATTTCTGGCCCCTGCTCGAGCCATCCTGTCTTTAGATAAATGGAAATGTAACACCACAGGTAACTGCAGTTATTTCCACATATGCATTGGGGGTCCTTGGACGCAAGGGAGGCCTGGACCTGCTGCTGTCGGCAGCAGCGCTAAACCCTTTCTGGAATGAGGCACAGGTGCACACCACCCACACGCGGTCTTAGAGCTCTCCCGCCTGAGGACTGTTCATCCCTCGCCACTGGGGCACCCCTAGCCCTAGAGCAGATAGGTCCAGAAAGGACCTCACTTTCTCTAAGCTCATGGAATTGGCAAGTAAGGGAACGGAATAGGAGCATAGTCGTGCTATTTCCCTGCCTCTTTCTTCCAGGGGAGTTTTATGAGCCATCAGCCATCATGGTCTCTGCTGCGTCAGCATCCCCTCCCTGAAACACCTCTGCTTTTTAAGGAGCTGGCTTCTCTGGTGTCCTGCCAATGGTTTTCATCCGCCCGACCCGGCTCCCCTGCTTAGTGATTGCAAAAGTTCTTAAGTAACCCAGAACGGGCAGGGAAAGACAGGGGCTTTGAGGGGAGCAACGAGTCCACCCTGTGGTACTCTTGAAAATACCATGGCGTGTTGGGGGTTCTAGGAGCAAGGTTTCCCAGGCTCCATTTCCTTCCCAGGAGGGACTCGGTGACCAGGTGCTTGATTCAGGAACTGGAACAAGCCCTTTGGTCTTCCCCAGGTTTTTAGAAACCTCAGCCAGGCAGCCCAGCTCTATCTCAGGCACCTGAGGTAGCAGCTCGCCGAGGTGGGGCTCGGTTTGGTTCTCTGGCGTGCGTGTCAGGCTGGTGCGAGAGGAGCGGGCATCATCACGCCAGGCAGTTCCGGGGGGAGCTCTGGATGTCGGGCACGACATTGGGCTAAGCTTAGCGTCCGGCACGGCTGGCTTCGCAGCCCGTGCCTGCTGCTGTAACTTGCACCTCGGAGACGGGTACCTCTAGACATAGACGGAAAACCGGGAGGAGAGTCTGATGTAAAGGGCAAAGTGGACGTGTCCTGCAATGCAGAAGCGTCGCCCCAGGAACAATTTTGCTGTCTTTGCTTTTGTTTTCAAGATGTGTCCGTTGTCAACGGAACTGCAGAACTGCTGCACACCGAGCACATCTGGTACCCCCGCATCCGAGAGGTAAGCGCGAGCTCCGTGCTGCTGCTGGTGGCCGCTTCCCAGGACCGCTCCGCCTCTTACCCGGCCTTCTCCGCTTGCTTATGCACCACTGCCTTGCACGCAACCTGGCGGCAGCCCTCCTCGCCGGGCTCCTGCAGCTCCTCCTGCCTCCACTCACGCTCCTAACACTCAGTTATGGAGAAACACTTCGTGCAGCCAGCTCATAGGCTGCCCCACCTTTCCTTTCCTCCTGTGCTCCCCTGGGACCTGTCTGCTCACCACCTCCCCCTCGATTAGCCCGGGCTTGGGAGCCCTGCAGCACAGCGCTTAGGCTGCGAGCTGCAAGGGTCTCTGTTGGAAACCTCCGGAGAGAGAGGAGAGAGGTTTTCTACTCCTGAAAAGAGGTCCAGTCTGGAAACTCATAGGAGCTCTTCTGCCCTGTCCTGTAGCGTCACCACGAGTCAGCCTGGACTTGATGGCAGTGGGTTGGGTTTGGTGCGCATGTGTCCCAGGGAAGGAGCGACAGAGGCTCGCTCTCAGCTGGCAGCAGAATTGTTCACTCGGGACACGGCGTTGACCTGTCTGTAGAGGGTGTGGCTACCGCCCTAGACATGAATTTTGGGCGCACCCACGTCTTCCAAAATGTACAAGGAGCATTCAAAATGTACAAGGAGGGCAAGGGGTCTTGTCGGTCACGTCTGTTCCCTCTCAGGCCCTGCAGGAGCTCATGCCTTTCACACCAAGAATCCCTGAGCACCAGTGTTTCTCTAGGGCGGCTTCCAAAGGGCTTGTTTTCTTTAAAAATTGGGAATTGCCTGTCTTCTTGGGATCATTTCTGTCAGAGGAAGAGGCAAGTAGGCTGTGTGGTCAGGGCCGATTTTTGTGATACAATAGACATCTCCCGTGGCCAGGCCTCCGTCGTCCTTCCTGAAGGTCCTTCCTGAAGTCTCTCGAGGGGTGGGTCCCAGGGCCTCGCCAGCTGTGTCTCGTTGGTGGAAGAGCGTGCCGCTTTGCAGCGTTGTCCGCTGTGCCTGTGGGTGATCCTTGAAAGTGTTTGGCGTACAAGCAGCTTACCCTCCCTCCCACCTGGGCTGCCATCTTTTGTTCCAGATCCAAGGAGCCATCATCATGTCCTCGTTGATAGAAGTGGTCATCGGCTTCCTCGGCCTCCCCGGGGCTCTGCTGAAGTATATCGGGCCGCTGACCATCACGCCCACGGTAGCCCTCATCGGCCTCTCGGGTTTCCAGGCAGCCGGAGAGCGAGCCGGCAAGCACTGGGGCATCGCCATGCTGTGAGTGTTGGCTTTCTGGTGTTTCACGATTCTTACTGTCTTATCACTAGACCCTGCCGGAGGAAATCAGATAGGAAATGCAAATGCCATTCGTTCGTTCGTTCATTCATTCAGTGGGAACCGTTCTTCGTTTTTTAGAATCACGAGACGCAAGAGAACTGTTTGTTCTGAGACAAAAATTGGGCAGGCAGAAAGGGGAAGTGATACCTGAATTACCTAGCGCTCCACTAATGGGGAACCCACACGTGGATGACTTTCCTGCCCAGGCATTTGTTTTCTCACAGCTCAGGGGACGAGAAGTCCAAATTCTGGGGTGACTCTAGTGGAATGTTCTTCTCTGCTTATTTATTTCAACTTCAAAGGACCACTGATCCTCGGCGCATCTGCGCTTGTCAGTGCATCTGCCTCTGCAGTCAGTCGTGTCTGCTGCTCCTCCATGTCTAAGAGGCTCTCAGAAGTGATTCGACTTAGAACACACTCTGCCTGTGTGATTTTCACTGGGCCCGACAGTAAAAACCGGCCCCTCTTCCCACCACTGCAGGACAGCGACTGTGAATGTTCTCACGCTGGCGTCAGGAGATTTTGGTTTCTTTTTTCAGCCAGCCTGTTTGCGTCATGACCAGGTGTAGGATTTGAGACCTAGAGGTTGGGACATGCCAGGCGGTGACACATAAGGGGGGAGACGGTCAGGCTTCAAACTTTTGGAGCAGGCTAAGAGGTTGGCACCACTGACTGACTTTTTGGATCACATCATGGGAAAGTGGTCCTAAGGTTCTTGGATTTTTAAAATAAATTACTTTTGAATTAGTAAAATATCCCAAACAAATAATAATCTAGGTGGGTTTCTAGTTGTTCCTGTTTGGCACTGTAGTCTGTCCCAACTCCTCACTTACTGACACAGTTAGGTTCCAGAGACTGAGATGTTTATGCAGAAATGGAGGGTGACCGTGTCAAAACACAAAATGGAAGATGACTACATCATTACATAACCACTAAGTTATAAAACTGCCAAGCAACTCAGAACCGTGGCCCAGCTAACTTCATACACCCTATCAATACCCTCACCTCATACCTTAGTCTCTGTTACTGCCGGATAGGCCTCATCAATGTCCCACATAGTCAGAGAGTGGGTTTTTGCTTATTTCCAAAATGTGACATGTCAGATAACAAGATGGTCAATAAATGAGGAGTAGGTTTACTCTGTAATTAATTAATGATGGTGGTATTTATTGAGTCCTTTACTGTATGTAACACTCAGCGTATACACTATAAATTAAGGTTGATACGATTGCTATTCTCACTGAACACCGAAAGAAATTTGAAGGCACCTACAGCCAGCAAGTGTCTGAGATGGGTTTCGAAACCCACTTGATCTGATTGGAGCTTAACCAGTGGTACTCAATCCTGCCTCTCTGTACTAGATCCTGGTAAACAAAGTATAATATAGTCAAAGGAGCTATGGGGTAAGCATTGGACAGCTAACTACAAAGTCGGCAGTTCCGAACCACCAGCCACTCCAAGATAGAAAGTTGAGGCTGTCAAAAAAATAAAATAAAATTGAGACTGTCTGCTCCTACACAGAGCACCTTGGACACCCTATGTGGGGTTTTGAGTCTGAATTGACCATAGGCAGTGGCTTGGTTTGGGGGTTGGCATAGCATAATGGTAGCTCATGCATCGTTACAAATGAAGGTAAGGTACGTGAAAATTAGCCATGCATGTCACCAAAAACTGATTTAAAGGAAACAACATTTCCCCACACCAGCCCGGCCGCATAGATGGCATCAAGACTGTTGAGTCAGTGAAAGGCCACACATTTGAAACAGGAGAAAAGTAGGCTTTCCACGGTGCCCTAAATTAGAAGCCAGTAACAAAAGGATGAAACTGCATGGGAGCTAAGAGCAGGGTTGGAAATAGCTCTGTGAGAGGTAATGGAGCTTCAGTTGTTCATCCCGAAATGAAGACAGCCACAGTGCTAATTATACTTAGAGAACGGCCAGTTCTTTGCGAGAAACGTTCCTCTGCAGAGTCCTTGGAGAATGGAGCTCCCAGTGTTAGAAAAATGTGAACTAAATGGATCAACATGAGTGTAATGAAAGCCATGAGCAAGAATGAACGAAAACACAGAAAATAGGGAGCAGACAGAGACGCTGAATTCAAAAGCTAGTCATTCAGTAAAGACCCGATGGAGATGAACTATTGCCAAAGCTAATCAAGATGGAAGAGAAAACATGCTTCGGCGTCAAGCCTATACTCCCTGCCTCCGGATTAAATAATTAAAAACAAAAACCAAAACAGAAGGAGTGGCTTTCCCAAAGATCCCTCTAAACCAGTGGTTCTCCTCCTTCCTTATGCCGAACCCTTTCATACAGTTCCTCAGGTGGTGGTGACCCCCCCAGCCATGATATTATGTTTTCGTTGCTACTTCATAACTCATTTTGCTACTGTTATGAATCATCACGTAAATATGATAGGCAGGATGTATTTTCATTGTTGCAAATTGAACATCATTAAAGCATAGTGATTAATCACAAATAATATGTCATATATTGTGAAATATTTATTTCTAATGACAAATAAATGCAATTTTGTCTTGAAGCATGGTGTAGCATGGGGAACAGTCTTCACGCCGGGTACTCGTAGGTGGGCATATCTACATGTGGGTGGACCTGCCTGGAGACGGATAGAGGATCGGTGTCTTGGTTCCTAAGACCATCGGAAAGATGTTTTCCGATGGTCTTAGGCGACCCCTGTGAAAGGGTCATTCAACCCCCAAAGAGGTCCAGACCCGCAGGTTGAGAAATGCGCTTCTAAACATTGAGGCTCCTCAGAGCTTAATCAGTGGCCTCCTTCCCTCCACGTCACGTTCCCTGTCCCTGGGAGATCTCATTCCATCCAGCAAACACCTATGTTCATGGCTCCTGCAGTGAAATCCGGAGCCTAGCCTACACTCCCTAGTCCATCCTCGGAGACATCACCCCAAGGACCTTCTTTCCCTACCTGCAGTTCCCAGGGCCTTTTCAATCTTCCAAGGGGAACCGCCCCAAGCTTCCCCACTCCTCCCCCTGCTTTCTAAGCAGCTTCCCCTCCCCGTCTCCTGTTTCATCCTTCAGTGGGTGGTATGACCCTACACGCAGTTCCTTAAGCCGGAAGCCCTGGAGGTGCTCTAGGCTCTGCCCATGCCCTTGTTCCTCCAGAAAAAATCCTGAATCTCTTCCCTCCTCCACTCCTGGGCATCGGCACTGCCCTTGTCAAACCTCACCCTCAAGCCACCTCTTTCTGAATAATGTCCATCTTCTTAATCTCTCAGCTCTCTCCAGCTGGCCCTTCGTGCTGTAAAATGCTTAGCTGTGTCACCCCTTTGAAACGAGCCCTGGGATGCAGCCAGGTGACCATTGGGCCGCCAACCAGGCTCGCCGTTAGAGGCCACTAGCTGCTCCATGCGAGAACCGTCCAGATTTACAACCCGGGACCCCGTGGAGTCCTCGTATCTCTGCCCTGGGGTCGTTAGGAGTCGGAATCCACGAGGTCCCGTGGCTTCCTCCTGTCCTGCAGCTCCCGAGACATGTACTAGACATCTGGAACCTTCTAAGTCTTCTCGAGTTTTGATGTCTGAAAGGTCTCCCAATACCTCCCCTCCACCCCAGGGTCTGTTTGTATTTCTGATGAGGTATTCAGGGTCTCTTTGTGGAAAGCCAGGCATTCAGAATAGTCTCTCTCTCTCACACACACACACAATCTTTGTGTGTGTGGGTACCTTCTTTCACGCCTCCTTTCTTCTTAGAGTTTCTAAGGTGTTGAATCTCCTAGCTCCATCCTCTCTGTTTCCGTTTTCCATCTTTGTCTTCTGTTCCCTCACTTTTCAGGGAGGTTTCCTCAGCTTGATTTGTTAACTCCTTCGATTGAGATGATTCATCTTCGCTCTCATGTTTCTGAGTTTCCAAGGGCTCTTCCTTTGTACTGGGAACAACCGTTTGTGCTTGTCACACCTGCTACAAGGTAAATGGGTGCTGAGGAGGTGTGGTATGAGTATGAGAAGGGGGATTATGGGGGGGGGGGTGTAGTAAACCACAACAATGGAAAAGTCAAGAACATTATCAAAGACTTCTAGCCCTGCTCCCAAAAGCCTTGGGCCCAATTGATCAAATAAGTGCATTAGAACTTCAGGGAGAGAGAACGGCGTTGTTTAACTTGTTGTAGAACACGAGCGAGAAGGGAATGGCAAAAGGGAGAACTGTGGGCCGGCGTTTTCCTTCTGAACTGGTAGAAGTTCCCGTTGAACCGAGGGGAGTAAGAGGTCTTACCTTTAACATCTTTTCTTTAATACTCCTCACAGCCTTTTAAAATGTACGTCTGCCCAGAACGAGGCCTTTGTATCTAGTAGCATTTGTTTTTTGGGTGCCTTATCTATGAACGTATCTGAGAAGAATGTCCTTTAGGACGTGGTTTGGGGAAGTCTGCTACGGGTCCTCCAAGTATACCCATATGGTTTTTCCAGGGATCCAAGAATGACAAAAGTTGAGAGGATTGTCGGGATACGGCCACCGTAAGTCCCTGGTGACTTTTCTTGATACGTTTTTCTTAGTTAGAACCACAGCGACGGTTTTCTGAAAGATGCATTGATTTGTTTGCTTTTTCAAAAAAACTCACTGCCCTCTGACCCGTCCTGCAGGTCATCAAACAACGTGGATACCTGGAAAAGGGACTGGGAATGAAGAGGGGCAAGAGACGTGAGAAATGGAGGCAAGACAGGAGTCTGATCAAGCCTTGTTTACTGAGCAGAAGGCAGAGGCTTAAATACCCAATGGTGGGCGGGTAACATTACGTCATATGCTAATAAAGTGTAACGGGTAGTATCCAATAATCACGCAGCTACAATATGGAAGAAATGGCAGGCATCAGTCCTCAAACAAGTCCGCATGCAAATGAGGTGCACTTGGATGCTTGGCGGAGGTGTCCAATGAGCATGGTGGCTGCCTGCCACCGAGCACCAATCATCACAAAGGCCAATAGGCCAGGGAACATCCGGGAATGGGAAGCTTAAAGACACCATATGGTGCAGGCCATGGGCTGAGGGACGTGCACTCAATTCTGATTCAAGCGACCCTCTAGGACAGGGTAGAACTGCCCCTGTGGGTTTCCGAGACTGACCCTTCATCTGAGTAGAAAGCCCCATCTTCTGCCAGGAGGACCGAAGGTTTCCACTGCTAACCTGGTGTTACGTGCATGTGTAACCACAGCGCCACCAGGGTCCCCGTGTTGGCTTTTGTTCTTCTCCCTGCCATTGAGTCCAGGCTGACTCACCGAGACCCCCTGTGGGTTTCTGAGCCTGTAACTGTTTATGGAAGTAGAAAGCCCAGTCCTCTCGGAGCTGCTGGTGGTTTGGGGTTTAAATCTACCAACCATGCGGATCCCAGCCCAACCTGTAACCACTATGCCACCAGGGTTCTTAGGTGTTAGCATGAGACATTATTTATGTATTGTTTTCTGATCACTACATCCCCGCTCTCTTACAAGACCCTTTCTGCCCCATCCGTGTCCACTCTTCTTGCCCCGCCTTGCCTGGGGGCAGGGTATTTCTTCTGGTTAAGTCCCTCTTTCTCTTCAAACAGGCAGCCCTGTCCATCCGGGCAGCTACCGTTTAGGTCTGGTAGTTGCTCCCTCCCTTTGAGCATGAGTTTGCAGTGCTGGTGTTGATTGACTCTTGCTAACTGCAGGGAGATTGCTTATCCCTACGCCTTTGTGAATAGTCCCTTCATCAGTCTGCTGCTGTCCGTCCCCCCCCCACCCCCCATCCATGTAATACATTTACTTTCTAGCATCCTCTCCAGAGTTAGGTTAGATTTTATTGACCTCCTTTTTGAGTACAGTGCTCATTTTACCGAAATCATGCAGTATTGCTGGCGACATTGCCCAGTCATGAGTTAGGATTTCATTTCTCCTGCTGAACTCATTTTTGTTCGACTGTATGAGGGGGCTTCAAAATGTTTATGGAAGAAGTCCCTGATGTTTTCATTCCATTTTTTCCTTGAACGTTTCGACTCCCCTTCGTAGTGAATTGCCCACTTCACATTTTTTCTTAGTTTTTGATAATGTCTTTAATTTGTTTTAAGGGGAAAAAAGTCCCAAATTCGAAGTTTGTAGAGACCCCCTAATGAAGTCTTCACCAAGACAAAGGCAAGTCACGCAGAGGGGGAGACGCTCAGCACAGGGCAGGAATGCTCTCCAAGGCCCCGTGGCCCACTTGCTCCTGACAGAGCGTAGAAAACAAGGGAAATCTGTCACAAAATCCTGATTCCCAGCAAAGCGGCTCGTGGCTGCCGCAGGTAGGATCCGGGGACGGGATGGGACTGTGATCGGGATATGTACACGATTGCAGTTGAGAAAAGTGGGTAGCGCCTTCTGACCACTTCATTTTGGGGTGTCCATGTGGATTGGGGACCCCAGTTTCCATAGAGGTGGGCCCAGGCAAGCCCTGGAGGGTGAGCCTGCCCTTTTCCTGGGTCGGCTGGGGGAGTCATCGTCACCTGCTGTCAAACACGCTGTGCCCCCAGAGTGAGCTCCGTGGGGCCTGGATTTATGGCAAGACACGGAATGGAGTTGGGGCTCCCACTGCAAACCATACCCTTTGGCAAGCCAAATTGCATAGACTTTCAGCTGTAATGCAAATGCCTTTCACCTTCTCTACCAGATCTGTTAACAGCTGATAAGTACTGTTTTTCCATTGGCTAATATACTATAATTCTCTTTGTCTGGAGAGGAAGGCAAGTGAACCAGCCTTGATCATAAAGAGAATTTGATGCCATATCTTGTGAAATTAAAATTGTAATTAGGAAATGAACAAAAACATTAAGCCGTTTTCTCATGCCCCCCCCCCCCACCAACCTCCTGGACTCCTTATTGATCTTTTGTTTCTCTTGGCAAATATTGTGACCGCCTTCTAGAGCCTACGTAAACATCATGTGCTCTTGCAAAAGGTGGGGGCAGGCTCATTTGATCAAGTTCAACCCGTATCCGTGGTGTAGACTTTTACTCATGTGAGAAAGAAGGCTCTTTCCTGAATGAAGTTTTAAAACGCATCCTGCGTAAGTGGTGAAAGAATGACACCAGGCCTCCTAGAATTGAGGACAGAGAGAAGCGTGCTCAGATCATCAGCGTCACTTAACTGTGTTCTCCGGGTGCTGGCTGATGCCGAGGACAAGCAAATACGGTAGCGGATCAATACCAGAAAGATCCTCCGGAAGGGAGTGGTAACCTGGCGTTATAGGGATTAAACACACACAGCTTAGTAATCAGTGACACCGTGGACTTAGGACAGACAGGTCCTGGGAATCGGTATTGGAAGAATTGTATAGGAAAAAATAGATATTTGGGTAAGGGCAGATTCCTACCTTAAATCTGGTTGAATTAAAGACAAGTATAGAAAATAAGACTGCACTAGAAGAAAGCTTCCAAATTATTTAATCATTCGTCAGGGAAGACCTCTCAAAGCAGATATTGAACAGAAAAGAATTAAGATTTACTCAAGCTTTTAAAACACATAGTAAAAAGCACCAAAAACGAAATTACAAACTTGGGAAAATGCTTATACAACAAATTGTACAACAGAGATAGTGACTCTAAATTATAAAGACCTTCATTAATTAAAACTTCTTGAATGGTGTCAGGAGAGTAGTGACCCAAGGCCATAGTCTAAGTAAAGATTTAGCAAAGGACTGCAAATAGGCAGTTGTGCCTAGGTGCCTCTCCGCTGGCTTCTGCTCCGAGGGACCCTGTCGTGTCCGTGGTACTAACATCCTGCCCGAGTGTGGCGTATTTGTTACAATTGACGGACCAATCTTGATGTGTTGCTGTTAGCCGAAGACCATAGTGTGTGTCCAGGTCTCCCCTAGGTTTGGACAAATGACTAATGCCACGTGTCCTCCATGCAGCATCCAAGCACAATGATTTCACTTCCCTCCACATTGCCTGTGCGCCGTCACCATCACCCGCCTGCCCTCTCCCGGAGTCCCTGTGGCCTTGGGGTCTTCTGTTTTGCCTTTCCTAGGTGGTCATCGGCCCACCCTTTTTAAGCATGTTGAAAATGAACATTGCCATGCAAGGGTGGTGGTATCTCGGTCTCAGTGCTGCTTGAAATAATAACAAGTAACGACAGGGACTGGGGGTGTGTGTGTCTTATGGTGTTCCTTTGAGGTAAATAGCCTTTTTATTTATTTTAAGCATGAAAATTTTATGAAAGTCTTAAGTTTTGATACCCTGATATTTCTTGAGACATTTCACTATTCCTGAGGCGGGAAAGCAATTGGGCACTGTGGATATTTCCACCCGCTGACCCTAGTCCTGGCCCAGTGGCTGGGCATCAGGGGCTATGGGGTCCTCAGTGGTCAGCTGGCCTGTGGCACTCACGTGTCTGCTCTTGCGTCTGTGCGTCATTGGGCACGTGGCAGCAAAGTTATGCTTGAGCCTGCTGTCAGTGGGTCTAGATAATCCCTTCTCAGTGATTGGAACTGCGCCAAGGGGGCAATTAAGCTGAGCTTTGCCCAAGAACCCACTCTTGCTGCCACCTGGGTCTTAGGGAAGGGGAGTCCACGTGGATGGTTAAACACGTGGTTGTGCACCTCCCTTATGTGGTGACTAGGAAATCCACCCTGGGGCTGGAAGCAGTTACAAGCCTGCCAGCCAGCCAGGGCACCAGGTGGGTCAGGAGGTGGCGGTGGCCATGACTGCCCCGCCACCCCGTGTAGCACTCAGGCAGGGTGTGAGGCTCAGGACAGGGCCCCTGTCCCGGCATCCCCTCTTTATGACCTGTGCGCTAGAGCTGTAAGAGTTTAAGCTCTAAAGGGAGATCCCGAGCCCACCCCCCTCCTCCTCTGGGACCTGTTGGCCGTGTGATCTTGGGTTTCAAGCTCTGCGGATGACCCTTAAAGTTCCTCCGTAAGACTTGAGACGGCGTGGGAGAAGATCCAAGCTCACGGGTTGCCACGGACACACACCTCTTGGGAATATTATGATTAATACTGGATCCCGCTGCACATATAACAACCCTCTGCTGCCGTAGAGCCCATTCTGACTCCTGGCAGCCTGCGGAGGGTTTCCAAGATGGTCGGTCTTTCTCGGAGCAGCCAGCTTCCTCTTCCTCCCCAGGAGTGGCTGATGGGCGTGAACTGCCGACCTTGTGGTTTACAACCCTTGTGCTTAGCCCACAGCACCACCAGGGCTCCGTTCGACTGGGCATAGTTTTCTTCAGTGTGGGCGCCTTCCCTTTCTGAAAAGTAAGATTTGCCCATTGTGGGCAAATCAGGAAATATCGGAAGAGTAGAAAATCAATCATAGATAACGTGACCACTGGAATCTAACCCTGGAAGCATTTTAGATCGTGTCTGTGGGCCTGTGGTTTCCTGGCTGGTTCTCGGTGCTTACCTAGATGGCGCCGCACATTGTGTCCAGCTCTCTGTCTCGTCCCTCACCATAGGCATCAGCTTTTTAACACAGCCTTAGAGATTTTTCACTCTGTTTAGGAAAATCAAACCAGGACAAGTTTCTTGCCATTTTGTTCCGTGTCACGGAACGCCAGTAAAGAGGTTCTAGCACCCTCAAGAAGAGTATCTTCCCAAAGACGGGATTCCACACGGCCATAAGCGGCTTTGTCGGTGAATGAGACTTGAACACGTGTAGCGGTTTTTGCCGTCGAGACACTTATTTCAAAACTCCGGACATACACTGCCTTTTGACCTCATTTATTTTCTTTCTCTCCTCAGGACAATTTTCCTAGTATTGCTGTTTTCCCAATATGCCAGAAATGTCAAGTTCCCTCTCCCAATTTACAAATCGAAGAAAGGATGGACCGCGTACAAGTTACAGCTTTTCAAAATGTTCCCCGTGAGTGCCCTTTAGCTGACGATAACCTTGCCTTTGATCCACGGTGTGGCATGATGGGCATGATGGGACGGAGGATTATGAGCAGCCCCTCCCTCCTGGAGGGACCGTGTCCATGTGGGGCACCAAAAACCACCTGAGCCAGCCTGCTGGGCTCTGTAGTTATTGCTCATCCTCTGAACAGTACTTCTGCAGGGGAACGTTGAGCCTGGGACCCAGTGAGAATGGACATAGTGTCTGTTATGAGTCGGGGGCCAGACTTCAGAAGGGTTAGCATGCATCTGCCCGTGTGCAGTGGCTCTCTTTAAACGGGTTTCCACTGAAGGGCTCAGCCCGTCTGCAAATTGGTGGTGTGGGCTTTTTTTTTTTTTTGGCATAGTGAGGGTGGCTTGGTGGAGGATGACCACTTGCCCAGCTGGCCTGACCGAGCCTTTCCCCTTGATCTCTTCAGATAATCCTGGCCATCCTTGTGGCCTGGCTGCTCTGCTTCATCTTCACGGTGACAGATGTCTTCCCTCCTGACAGCACCAAGTACGGCTTCTACGCACGCACAGATGCCAGGCAAGGCGTGCTTCTGGTGGCCCCGTGGTTCAAGGTCCCATACCCATGTGAGTATTGGGGGGGATGGAAGTTGGCCAGCCGCTTTGCAGCCTGAAAAGCCTTCTTTGTCCCAGCCTGTCTCCCAAAGGTCTCCCTCCCCAGCAGAGGATTAGACCGACCAAAGGGACTCCTTACCCAGAGCCCATTGATTAGCACCGAGACTAAGCCACTTTGCCGTCCGGTGGCCCGGTGACTGGGGCTTCGCCAGGACGAAATCTGGGCCAAAGGGTCCCTTGCCAGGTGTGAGCGTTGGTGCCCAGCGCTGGTGGGTGGTCGCTTAGAAGGGCGAGTCTCGGACTGCACAGTACCAGAGCCACCAAAGGGCGAGGCTCAGGTGGGAGGTCCTGCAGATTAGGGAGCTCGACTGCTCAAGCGTGATGGCATCTGGATAATCTTTTAATGGGGAGCCATAATCTTTCTTTTATTTTTGGTCCCAGCTGTCAGGGGTAAATCGATATGCACAAATGGGCCGGAGATAGAGCTCACATTGCAATTTGAGTGTTGGGTAACTGGTGGCGGGAATAAGATCCCCCCCCCCCACCCACCCAGTGAGGTGTCAGCAGGATTCACGTGGACCACTTCCGAGAGCCCAGCCCCAGGTGGTTTGGGTGAACCCAGGGCATCATCACGTGCTTGCTGCTTCTACCAGGGACTGTCATCTCAGTGGCTGGCGGGCTCAGCACGCACTTCCCTCGGACGATACCAGTTCATCCCCCAGTTTAGCCATCGTGCAAGAGGGCTTCAAAAAAGTTGGTGGAAGAAATGGATTTAAAAGATGGTGGGGGGGCTGTTTTTTCTCTTTTCCCCCCATGAACTTTTTGAAGTCTCGCGTTTGAGCGAGGAGGGAAAGCTGGGAAAGGGAAGACTTGTCAGGTTGGGTCCAAGAACAAAGGCTCTAAATGTGCAGTGTCATGGGATGTTGGCAGCCGCGGCTCTGGAGCCGGGCACCCGCACGAAGCCTCAACTCAGAAAGCACAGTGTCCTAAAGGGTACTGTCTTCACACCAGCCCGCTTTCCTCTGTGCGAGTTTGCCCCTCCAGCTCTCCTCCAGAAGAGGCGGGCTGATGACCCTGGAGGTCTGGACCGAGTGCGTCTGCTCTGTGAAGCAGGGGAGACCTCTGTGTGACTAGTCCGTGCACATCCCACGGAAAGTGACGGACCGTCTTTGCTTTCTCAAAGGGAAACCCTTCTGTTTCCCATAATGCGATGCTCTTGAAGGAAGAAAGGTGTGCTTGCCTTAGAGAATGCTTGTCCAGCCTGGCCTCTCGCTTCTGTCGGGGTTTCATGGAGCTCCACACCCCCCCAGGGGGGACGGACAGACGAACAAGGGCCCCATTGTGCTGTGCCGAACTCAGCCATGGGCCCTTCCCATGCAGCCCACAGGCCATCTCTTTCCTTTTTTTGCAGTAAAAGAGCAGGCTAACCCTCCATTACAGCCATCTTCATCGGCATTAGTAGCTCTTCCAGGTTATCAAGGTGTTGGGAACGCTGAGTTAAGCCCAGGTTATCAAGGTGTTGGGAACATCGAGTTAAACGTGCACAGCACTTCCACGGGGAGAAAGACGGGGCTTTATTCCCATGAGAGCGGTACTCTCGGACTTCCACAGGGGCCACTGTGCCTTGTCTGGCAGAGTTGCTGTGAGTCGACATCAACTTGCTGGCAGTGGGTTTGGTTTGGTTGAGCACTTCTGGGAGCTTCGATCTGAGGGCCCCGGTGGGGCCAGCTGCCGGCTTGCCCCTCTCATGTGCAAAGTAACCATACGTGGTGTCCTTTCCCCCTCTCAGTCCAGTGGGGCCTGCCCACTGTCTCCGCCGCGGGCGTCATCGGCATGCTCAGTGCAGTGGTGGCCAGCATCATCGAGTCCATCGGCGACTACTACGCCTGTGCGCGCCTGTCCTGCGCCCCGCCGCCACCCATCCACGCCATCAACAGGTACGTCCCAGAAGGAGGGAGTGCCGCGGCAGCCCAGCGCCGCCTCACTCTGCCCTGTGCTTCTTTGCCTCTTGGAGAAGAAGCTTCGTAAGCAGTTCAGCACGAAGCAATGGAGCGCCACCAGGGCTACCCAGTGGCCGTCTGACTTTGGAACAAGCCACTTCCCGATTCTAGCCTCATGTCCCCAGCCTTCCTTCCCTGAGAATAAGTAGTGGAAAGACACCCCCGGGAGCGCACGCTGCACCTTCACTCATAAAAACCAGGACTGCCGAGCTCGCTCCTCGGTTTGGGGTTCTGTTGCCTGGTGCAGAGAGCACTCTCAGCTGTTGACTACAGGTGTGGGGGTTCAGGGCCACCCAGAGGCACCGTGCAAGGAAGGCCTGGCAGTTGGCTTTCAGATGGCCAGTCATTGAGACCTCCGGCGGAGCGGGGGCGCAGTTCTGCTCTGACCCCCACGAGGGTGCCAGGAGTCGGATTGCCTAGGCCCACTGGGGCTCTCTCCCATTTGGTTCTCCCAGCTTTTCCCAGGGCCAGGTGTTACACAGTCTCTTCACAGGCAAGGGGTTCATGATCTCCGGGGGCGGGGAAGGTACTCTCCACACACCAAGTCCTTCGCTCCTGAATGCTGGGAGTGGATGCTGGGACCCCATGGAATCTACAGGAGAAAGGGCCCAGCTCACCCCAGTCTCCCAGCCAGCGGCTGCTCCCCAGCACTCCTGTTGTCTCCCTCCTGTGGCTCCCAGCAGTTCTGGAAGGAGCTCCGAGCCCTGATTTCTGCATCGTTCTCTTGCATGTAATTAAGCTCCTTCTACAAGGGGGCTTCAAAAAGTTCCCATAAAAATAAAAGGGGTGGGGGGGTGAGTTAAAAGAATGAAATTTTTCCCAGCCTTATGTTGATTATTCTGAAAATGTTTGCATGTGTGCGTTTATTAATCATTTCCTCTTTGATCAAAGTAGATATGAATAACAAAGGAATCAAACCAGTGGGTTGCAATCTTGAGAGACACCCATGTTTGTCTTAACACCCACCCCCCACTCCCGCCACCCACCCATTACCCTTCAGCCGATTCCAACGCTTGGGCTGCAGGTCCCAATGACTGGCTCTGTTTTCTGGTGGAAATCTGTTGCCTAATGTGAAATGATTTTTAAGCCCCTCTAAAATTTAGAGGAATCCTGGTGGCAAGGTTGGCGGTTCAAACCCAGCAGCTGCTCCGCAGGAGAGCGATGATGCTGCCTGCTCCCATGAAGATAGATGGGTGGACACCCTCAGAAAGCCTATAGACAGAGGGTGGCTCTGCGCTGGAATCATTTCTTTGGCGGGTTCCCATGGTCAATGGGGGGAATGCTGCCCACGTGCTGGCCCTAATTCAGGAGGCCTGAGGTGAGGTTAGAGTGTGTGCTTTCCCTGGACCACGCCGCTGGGCCGGACAGCCTGGACCCCGCATTCAGTGCACCCTTCTCTTGCCCTCCCGGTCCTTTCCATTCAGGGGCATTTTCGTCGAGGGCGTCTCCTGCGTGCTCGACGGCGTCTTCGGCACCGGGAACGGGTCCACATCATCCAGCCCCAACATCGGAGTGCTGGGGATCACCAAGGTAGGTGGTTTCCCCCATGAAAGGGTTGGGCCCCAGGCCTCCCTTGTGGTGGCTGGTTGGACCCTGGTGAGTTTTAACAGGAAAGAAAGTTCTCTGCCTCACTGAGGCTGTGTCTTCTTGTCAACCCCTCCACCGCCCCCCCCTCTGTTTTCCGCTGCGGGACGTCAGGAAGTAGGGTTGGAGGTCTCTTCTTTGGCCAGCACGGTAGGGAGGTTCCCACACATCTGTGTGTCTTTCTCCTCCAACCAAGTGCTTTCCAGACGCCGATTCACTGCCGCCCTAGCCTACCTGCTTTTGCAACCACTTGGCCTATTGAGCGAGTGACGGGGGGAAGGTGCCCTAGCCCTCAGAGAGTATGCCTTCTGGCAGCCGGTGCCAAGCGTGGACAGTCCGCTACAACCACAAGCGCAGCCAGGCACTGCCCGCGATATGAGCCGAGCCTGGCACAGTGAAGCGCAGCAAGGGGGCTGGTGCGGCAGGGGCAGAGAGAGCGAGAAGACCGTGTTCCAGGGAAGAGATGTTCTAGAGATTCCGCCCACGGCAGGAAACATCAGGCCTAGCTTAAAGATTAACAAGGTGCTCAACCTTAGCGCTAGAACCCCTCTCTCAGATGACATCTGGCGTGGAAACCTAGCGGAAGCAAACAAGTCCGTGTGAGTCACTCAGGAGGCAGCTAGGGCCTGGGGCGAGTCCTACCTGCCAGCCTCGCCCCTCTGCCCCACCCCCAGCTTCCATCATCACATGTCTTACTAGCAAGTAGACTTGTACCTGTGTTGTCTAAAGCCCCAGGGTGCGCTTAGCCGGGCGGGTGACGAATGCAGAAATGCAGCCAGCCGACTGGCCCTGTGCATTACGCAGTACAGCCTGCTCCAGTGAGGTCTGATCCCCGAGAGCTTGTGTACCTGGATGGTCTTTATACAATTAGGGGCGTAGATCTCCAAAGAAAAGGCACAGGCTTTCGGAAGAGAAATCCCTCCGCCAGGTTCTATAACTACGTGAAAAGAAACCGGGTACCAAATGTGTACATCTTGATGGCAGGTCCCTGCTGGAGAGGCCCCACTCACACCGCCCCCAGAGCGTCCCGGGAATGGCCAGTTTCCCCTGCCCGGTGTATAACCGATCGCACCTGTCACGAGTGAAAATGTTGTCACGGGCTTTCGCGGTTGAGCCTCTCCCCTTCTGTACAGGAGACCCTGGTTTGCTGTTCCCAGCCAGGGCGCCTCACATGCACCCAGCACGCCAGCTTGTCATTGATGACTTATGCGTTGCCATGGTGCCGAACAGCTTTTCAGTGGAGCTTCCAGACTGAGGTGGACTAAGAAGCGATCGGCTTCCAAACACTGGGCAATGCAAGCAGGCCTCCGGGGCAGTCCAACTGGCCTCTGTTTGCCTGGGACAAGTGGGGAAGGAACCCCGTGTGTGGCTGATGAGTCCCACACAAAGCCACGTGCTCTGCTTAGCCCTCGCTCCTGAACCGTAGGATCAGAGACTACAGCACAATCCTGATCAAGAGGGGGGGGAAAACAGAACAGAAGCTCCCATTGTCTTACACTCCAGACTTTTCAGAGCCAGAGGGTCTGGAAGAACCCCTAAAATGCCTGCCCTGAAATAGTCTTGAGAACTTGGCCCAGAATTGCCCTCTGCCATCTTCAAGTCCAGCAACAGTGTAACTTAACTGGTAACAGAGTGCTGCTCTTCCCAGACCATCTGTGTGGGGTCAAAGTGACAATGGCCTCTCTCCAGGGCAGATAAGAAGCTTAGGGGCAGGTTGTCGATGCGCCTAAGCAGAAAGGCCCCAGAAGAGGGGGAGGAGAGTGGCTGCACCGCTCGAGACCGTAACCAGCCTTGCAGCGTGGTAGGGGCCGTGGACTGTAACCAGCCTTGCAGAGTGGTAGGGGCCGTGGACTGTAACCAGCCTTGCAGAGTGGTAGGTCACGTGGACTGTAACCAGCCTTGCAGAGTGGTAGGGGCCATGCAGGACTGTTTGAGTTGCTGTCTATGTTCTCAACAACAAACTAAAACAAGCATTTAAGAAAAAAAAGAAAATCCCAGCAAACTGGAAATAGGGCACTGACCAAGCCCCTTGGCGGCCTGAGCCAGGGGGCCGATGGGAAGGTGGCTGGCTGTGCAGCCAGTAGCGAGTCAAGCTAGGCTGGGTTTCCTGCTGAAGGTGCCCAGGGCCGGGGGGCATGGGGGCAGGGAGAGCAAGGCCAGGTGGGAGGCAGCAGGTGCTTGCCAGGCACCAATGGAATGGTTTCGCACACCCTGTCGCGTGTCCTCAGCACGACCATGCAGTTATTTCGCCATGGAGATGAGGGTCCTGGGGCCCAGAGAGGCTCCGTGGCATGTGCTGGTCACACAGCTAGAATGGAGCTGACACTTGATCCTCGTGCCTCCCACCCGAGAGTTCTCTCTGCTCTGGGCTCCCTCTCCTGGGGCAGAGGCCACGAAGGCTTAATAGCAGGGCGGAGAGCTTCCCTAGCCGGCTCGGGCCTTGTCTGACTTAGCTGCCAGGGATACGGTGTCCTTAGTGGATGGTGAGAAAAGGCAGCCTTTGACATTCCCCATTTGAAATGCCAAAGGCTCCCCTCAGCCCCCAGGGCACCAGTGGGGGCACCAAAGGGTGGGACCCTTGGAAACCCCAGAGTCTCAAGCTCACGAGCAAGTCTACGTAGGAGACCAGTCAGGGAAACTGAGGCAGGGCCCTGGGGCTGCCCCCAAAGTGAGCAGAGAGGACGGGGGCAGCGAAGAAAGGTGGGCAGTCTTTGTCATCTGGAATCGCTGGAGTGGTTGAGATTGACTGCACGCTGAGAAGAATGCTCATTTTGAGGTGAGCCTGGCCGCCGCCAGCTGGGAGTGTCCCGCGGCCCCAGCTTTGGTGGCTCATGGGTCATGTGCTGGCCACCCTTGCAGGAGGTTGTACTCCCAGTCAGTGTGCCTCCTCCGTGCTCAGTCCTTTGCTCATATGATGAGCAGGTTTCAGTAGCACTTGGAAGAAAGGCCTGGCGATCGAATTCGGAAAATCAACCCAGGCAAACCCTGTGGATCACGGTGGTCTGGTCCTGTTCTGGGTGGAATTACCCTGAGTTGGGGGCAGGGGCAGTGGCTCCCCTGCTGTCTTGAGACTCTGTCTGATTTTACATGTGGGGAAGGTGGGGCTGACGCTGTATCAGTGCCTGAGTACTTCCTCACGGAAGTGTGAGGACCGTGGCTTTCCTGGGGAGCTGGTCTTTGAGGACTGTGGGACTGTGTGTGGAAGACAGCCCTGCAGACACCACCTCTGCTTGCGTCTCACAGGTGGGCAGTCGCCGGGTGATACAGTACGGAGCAGCCCTGATGCTGGCCCTGGGCATGGTGGGAAAGTTCAGCGCCCTCTTCGCGTCCCTTCCTGACCCTGTGCTGGGCGCCCTCTTCTGCACGCTCTTCGGTAAGGATTTGTTTCTTGGGAACCAGGCACCCCTCCTCCAGCTCCTTGTCTGTCTTCTGCCTCTGCCACTTTCCCTGCCCTCAGGGACTTGAGCGTCTGACGATGGTGGACACGGTGGGACCTGTGGCCTTGTGCTTTCTCTGCAGGGATGATCACAGCGGTTGGACTCTCCAACTTGCAATTCATCGATTTAAATTCTTCCCGGAACCTCTTTGTGCTCGGATTCTCCATCTTCTTTGGACTCGTCCTTCCAAGTTACCTCAGACAGAACCCTCTCGTCACAGGTAAGGAAAACAGACCTCAGGTTCAAGGGTGAGTTGTTAACACATGGTTCTCAAAGGGTTCTGCTTTCCTCCCTGGACCGGGCCCAGGGCTTCAGGAACTTGAGCCTCACCCTGCTGCCGTGTACCTGGACCCCTGAGCGCTTGTCTCCATAGCGGCCGGGTGTGCAGACCTGTTGTGCGCACGAAGGCCTCTTACCAGAACCATCTCCTTTGGGAGGATGCTTTTCTGAAAACAACAACAACCAAAAACACCTTTGCATTTTTCAAAGTGGTGCTATATTTTGGAGCCCTGGAAGCACAGTGGTCATGCTTTGGGCTGCAGTCCACAGGGTTGGCGGTTTGAAACCACCTGGAGCTCCTGGGGAGATCGACGAGACTTTCTACTCCGTAAACAGCTACGGAGCCTCGGAAACTCACGGAGCAGTTCTGCCCTGTCCCACGGGGTGCCTGTGAGTCAGCATCGACTCGGGGGCAGGCGCCGTATTGAAATGTGTGACGTCTTGAAATTCATGTTTTCCCATTGGGGCTCCAGCTAGGAGTGTGACGGTGAGCCTTGGTCCCTCCTCCCCTTGTTTCCTCGTGTCTGGGGCCCCAGAGAAGGAGCAGCCTCGGGTGTGCCGTACTGAGCAGCGGCAGAGCTGGCGGCCTGCCGTGGTGCACCTGGAAAGCGCGAGGGCTGCTCCTAGTTGCAGATGCATGCCTGCTCGTTCCTGCTTGTACAATTTCAATACACCGCATGCGAATGGGAGCACCTTTTAACATCGGTTTGCTCCTAATCAAAAGGAACTAAACACTACCCCGAACAAGGAAAACCTTGGTGTGATTGCATATGCCACAAACCCTTTTATTTCCTTACTCCCCGTCGCTTTCCTCGCAGCCTCACAATGGCTGTCTTTTAGTCTGAAGTTTTTTAATATACCACCAACACTCGGAGCGCGGCCAGAGGATATTGTATAGGCGTCCTGGGCTGCTCACCAAGAGGTCAGCAGTTCAAATCTACCAGCTGCTCCGGGGGAGGCTTTATTCTCCTGTAAAGAGTTACAGCCTCGGACCCCCCAGGGGCAGTTCTGCTCTGCCCTGGGGTCTCTTTGAGTCAGACCTGGCTCCGTGGCAGTGAGCTTTGGTTTTCCACCCTGTTAGGTTATCTTGGGCCCTGGGTCATTGTTAAGGCCATTCCTCATAGAGACCCTGAGAGGGCCTGCCGGCCGCTGCCTTGTGACGCTTTCCCTCCGGTTTCTCTGCCTCTAGGGATAACGGGGATTGATCAGGTGCTGAACGTTCTGCTCACCACGGCGATGTTCGTGGGAGGCTGCGTGGCTTTCATTTTGGATAACACCATTCCAGGTAGGTGGCGGGTCTCCAGGGAGCACCTTCCTGACTGCCAGGAAAGGGGGGCAAGCAGAAAGGAGGAACCTGTGAGAAGCATTCGCCGCTTAAAAGCGACTTCAAAAGTGGTTGAGTTTGACCAGCCCCTTTCCCAATGCCAAGGCCCTATTCAAAGAAAACAGGTCCGTTTCTTGGGCTGCCTTGGGAGGAGGCAGTGGGGAGGCCTCGGCCCCCTGCCCGCCCGCCCGCCCTCCACACCTGAGCCCCGAGCCAGCGGCCATCCTGTGCTTGTGCGTGTAGAGTAGAGGGTGGACGGAAAAAGAGGAAGGCCCCCCAATGAGATGATTGACAGGCCAGTGGGTGCCACAGTGGGCGCCAGCCGAGCCACAGCCGTGAGGAGGGCACAGGCCTGGGCGGGCGTTTCCCTGTGTTGTTACACAGGGCGGCTATGAGCCGGAACCGGGGACCAGCTGCTCCTTCAAGCACCCTTTGCGCTCTGCCATCCTGAGGGATTCCTCCCTCTTGGCGAGCCTGCCCCATCCATTAAGGGACTCTTCCCTGAGGCTCGCCCCTAGCCCTCTGCAAGCCCACATGCAGGCTCCCCAGCCAGTGAGACCACTGCCTCCACGGGGTGTGTCCGGGTGCCTGCCGGGCCCCAGAGATGGGAGGCCCCCTGCGCCACCCCCACCCCCTCAAGTCCACAGGAGGCTACAGTGCAGGGACCCGTTAAAAGCACTGGCCTTGACCTCTGCCTTTCAGGCCATGAGCGGTTCCCCTGGAAGGCACAGTGCTTATGCTTGGGCTTGAAGGATTGCTTGAAACAAACTCTTTCCCGAAAGTTTCGGGCTGGAGCTTGCTCGGGAGTCCAGGGGTGAGCCACAGAGAAGGCGGCCTGGGTGCTGGTTTTTGTCTGGTTTTTGGTGGGGCGGGGGGTTAAAGAGTTTCATGGAGATAAAATTAGCATACCTGTCAGTAGTTCAGTCGTACGAGGGATGTTGTGTGTCTGTCACCACAGTGCATTCTGGAACATTTTCTTCCTCCTTGTACCCACTGGGGACTGTGGGCTCTCCATTTCCCGCGCCTCCTCTTCCATGCCCTCAGGGACTTTTTAGTCCAGTCACTGTTTTCATAGATCCACCCATCCTGACCGTCCTGACCTCCCTGTGCAGAGAAAAACACAAAACAAAGACTGGGGAGAAAAACAAACAGAAAAGGACCCAGTAGCAGTGACCCCACCGCCCTCCAAAACACAAAAACACAAAAATTTCAACCGAGAAGAAATCAGAAAAGATTTTTGAAATAGAATAAATTCTACTAAAAACCAGAACAAATTCAAGAGGGAGCTCTAATGGCAAGGCATTGCCCTCCAGTCTTCCCACGGCTGTTGAAAGCCACCTTACCCTGCTCTTTGTCTGGTCCTCCATGACTCATGTGCCCACAGCCTCGATAGGGGCCGGATTTAAGAGGACCAACGAGCAACATCTTGTTTCTCTCCGTAGCCAGAACGAATTGAGAGGCGGCTCTGGCATCAGATAGAGGATGGGGGATAAATCAGCCACGTTATGCAAGCAGCAGTTGAGGGGTGGGGGTGGGGTGGGACAGGCACAGCTTAGATGCAAGAACATCACGAGCTCCCTAAACAATGGGCACCCAATCAGGCTGCTCACCCAGGTTCAGGTGCCAACGTGTCTCAGTGTGAGGTGTACTAGGTCAGCGGTTCAAAGCCACCAACCACTCCACGGAAGGTGAGGCTTTCTGCTCCCATGAAGAGTTACCGTCTTGGCAGGCCACAGGGCAGTTCGACCCTGTCCTGTCAGGGTGCTGTGACTGAGCACCCACTTGAGGGCAGTGAGGTGGTTTTCTTGGGACTGGGGTCTCCTTCATTTTGCCAGTGAACTCAGCATTCCGTTGGTTCTGTGCGTGCGTGCGTGCGTGCGTGCGTGCGTGCGTGTGTGTGTGTGTGTGTGTGTGCGTGTGTGGGCGTGTGTGTGACAGGTACTCCAGAGGAACGAGGCATCCGGAAGTGGAAGAAGGGCATACGCAAAGGAAGCAAGACGCTCGATGGCATGGAGTCGTACGATTTGCCCTTCGGCATGAACATTATCAAAAAGTACCGATGCTTCAGCTACTTGCCCATCAGCCCCACCTTCGTGGGCTACACCTGGAAAGGCCTCCGGAAGAGCGGGACCAACCGGAATCCGGGAGAAGACTCCCAGGCCACAGTATAGCCCCGGGCGCCCGGTGGCTGGCGGCAGCGGTGGCGGCAGGGCATGTCTCTGTAGTCCTCGCTGAGTAACAAGCAGTAAACTATGTCTGTATTTCTGCATTCACACTCTGCACCCTGGAGCTAAGACTGATTACAATTAATTAGCTTTTCTGTCGTGGGTGGTGATCCTGCCTAATACGGTGTCTCTCCTATGTCCTTATTTAAATGAAGCCCTTGACCCTTTCCCTTCTGGGAGCGTC